ATCCTAGTTAGAGCTTTCACTGCCTATATACGACCAATTTCAAAATATTGTTGACTAGTATGGTCGCCACACCAAATTGGATTGATTAAATCAGTTAAAAGTGTTTAACGAAAATTTACAAAAAAAAATATCTTGGTATCGAATCACTTGAAGTTCGGCGCCTTAAAAACGACTTAGTAACTTGCTTTAAAATTTTTTGTAAACTTGTTTGTACTGATCAATCTATGTTCTTTGCGATTGACAATAACAGCCACACCCGGGGTCATAATTATAAAATAAGCAAACAATCTTGTGGCTTGGATTTAAGAAAATGTAGCTTTACTTACCGAGTTTTTGACATGTGGAATATTATGACCTCGGAGGCTGTGAATGCAAATAACATTTTAACGTTTAAAAATAAAATTAAATCTTTCGACTTTAACAAATATATCTATTGTAAAAGAAACAACTATTTGTTTCTTTATAGTTTTGTTATTATTATTTTTTTTTTTTTTGTAGCGATATTTTTAAATTTCTTTGGGCACGTTGTTAGTGCCCATCTTTGTATGGGCCTTCGTGTCCCTTAGAACATGTATTTATACTTTGTTCTAATAAATATCAATCAATCAATCAATGTCAACTCTTAAAGAAATATTTTAAATGATGATTGAATAGTATAATATTCCTCTAAACAAACGTTTGTGATAAACTCTAATTTTGTAAATATCTAACTTTCTTTAAGCTTATTTCAGTTATTAAAGGGTTTGTTAACAAAAGATTACTAATCATCTATTTTTTTTTTAAACAAAACACATAGCCCCACAATAACTTTGCTGCACAACAGAACAGCATGCCAAATTTACATTCACCCAGCTATTTGATCGAAAATCTTTTGCAAAGTCTGTTGGTATAATGTTTTGTAATGTATTGAATTTTAATTTCAGACGACATCTTTATTATGTTTTGCTTAATAGTTCTTATATTCATAGTAAACGTAATGAAATTTACTCAAATAATATCAAAAAAATCATTTTAGAGTGTTCTTCAAATAATTGAATGTCATTTTGTTCATGATTACTGATTGCAATATAAGATGTAAACAATAAACCAACTGTTTTTTCACTTGAACTGCCTGAGTTTTTCGCAAATTAGTCAGAGGAAACATCGTCTTAAAAAGATGTTGACATACTGTCGTGAAAAATTACTTGAGTTTTATTGAAAAGCTGCTCATGTCTTCATTTTGCGTCTGACTTTTTTTTATATATAAAAAAAGATGTTTATTTCACACATTCTTTTGTAAAAGATTTCAACATTTTAATTTTTTTAATACGTTCTTTCTTACACCCTATATATCCTTACTTTTTTGATTCATTTTAAACTAAATAATTTATAATAATAAAATAATACACTCAAGTCACTATAAAGGCTAAAAAATGCAATAAAAACAAAACGCTTAAAAAAAGTACTTAGTTTTTATGCAATAAGACTAAAGTAAAACGTGTACTGCACTGTACTGCAATTTTTTTCTTTTACGGCTGCGCAGCTAGCGCGCTATATTTATATACTTTTTAAACAGTTCTATTGGTTAACGTTAGAAAAAAAACTGCTTTAAAGCTTTCATGCGTTAATGTTGCTATGCAATAAAGTTTAATTGTCGTTTTTGCAAATTATTCTTTTTATAGATGCAACTAAGAATTTTAAAAAAGCTTGAGGTAACATAACTTTTAATAAAGAAAAAAGCAAAACCATAAATTTAGTAAAGTTTAGAAACCGGCCCATTTTTTCAAAAGAAGGGTGATAGCCACCCTACTTACCCCCTTCCATCGTTAAGGGCCTGCAACATATATTATATATATATATATTACATATAAAAAAAATACAATATACAACTCGCTTCTTTTTTAGCCTGTCGGACGAAGCGATTGGCCAGCAATGTTGAAATAGAACGTTTTCGACCACGTGCTTGAGGTTTTCTTGTAATTTTATGGCATTTTTTATCATTTTATTGGAACACTTAACTAAACGACCAACTTCTCTATAAGATTTCCCTGCTGATATCAACTTTCGGATCTGTTCTCGTTTTTCTGTATTACAATAATTTCCGCGTTCCATTTTTATATATAAATGCTTCCTACTAATACGCACTAACATAAAACGAATAAAACAGCAATAAAAAACACCCAAAGCATGTTATTTTTGCAATAATTTTTACCGTTATCAGAGTATTTTACAACAGAAGAGTGTGTGGTGCTATTTTATTTTTTGGTCAGAATTGGCATTTTTGATTAAAATTGAGCAACACCAAGCAGTTTTTTTCCCAAAATGATTTGTTTTAGAAAATAAACATGTTAACTAATATTTTAAACAGCAAAGCTATAAAAAAAATTATTTTACATGGTGTTTTCTTAACAAAAAATAAAATACGCTAAGTGGTGTAAAACATAAGTATAAACATATATTTGTTTGGAGTTTACTCGATGTCTAGGAAGTTAGATATCTCGAAGACAAAAAAATGCTTCCGCCACCTCTGATCTAACCTAATGATCGACTGTTATACAATGTTTTGTCGCGAAAACTTTACAATCTGTTACTAATACTATGATTGACATTCATTGAAAAAAAAATTGAATTGTCAGACTGTCTGTTAAGTGGATGTGTGTTTAATAAGTACACTGTACTTTTTGTTTCCAAAATTCTGGTAAAAAAGATTTGACTTTTTCAGTATCTATTTACAACTTTCTGATTTAATTCTAAATAGAAATGTTTGTTTAGATATGAATAGATATTGTTTTACGCTGCCAGTAACAGTCGCTAATGTCTAAAAATAATTTAGCAAATTAAAAATAATAACAGATTAAAAAGAGTTGTCTCGGACAAACTAGATAACACGATCTTCCATTATTAAATAATGCGAGATCGTGTTATCTAGTTTGTCCGAGAGAACTCTTCTTAATCTGTTATTATTTTTTATTTACTGAATTATTTTTAGGCATTAGCAGCTGTTACTGTAAATAAATACTAAAAAAAAGACTGTTAAATAAACTATTTATTTAGCATAAAGAAGCAAAAATGGACATTAAGGAACTTATTAATGATTTTGCTGATGCAAAAGCAAGAAGAAAACAATTTTAACTTTTGTTATGCATCCACGTAACCATATAAACATAACTCAAAACTTGGAAGAAATTAGAAGTTTTAGCATTTATTTTTACAATCTTTACTCAGTGTTATATTTTTTTCATCTGGAGTTATGGAAACTATGCTGAGGGGTATCTTTCAATAACGTTTTTTTAGAATTATGCTATCCGGTTATATATTAGCTTTGGTCACAAAACTGTAAAACTTTTACAGTTTTGTGACCAAAGCTAAAATTAGTTACCAAATTGGCTGAAAATGCCGTATATAAAATTACTTTTCGTGAACATGGTGTAGTTTTTAATAATCATTCAACTGATGTTTTTTCTTTTTTAAATTTGGTGGATAAATAAAAAACCACACTAATAGTAATAGTCTTAGAAAAAAAAAGCCAATATAATATATATTTATCAATTATTTTTTTGACTCTTTTTGAATTAATATGTTATATTTATTGTTCATCTTCGAAAACATAGGAAATAATTTAAATAATTCAAAACGTTTTTTATTTTCTACTTTTCAATTTAAAAGTTTTATATTCTCTATTTTTCAATTCAAAAAATTTTTTATTCTCTACTTTTCAATTTAAAAGTTTTTTATTCTCTACTTTTCAATTTAAAAGTTTTATATTCTATACTTTTCAATGTAAAAGTTTTATATTCTTTACTTTTTAATTTAAAAGTTTTATGTTCTCTACTTTTCAATTAAAAAGTTTTATATTCTCAACTTTTCAACTTCAAAGTTTTTTATTGGTGATGTAAATGCAGGTGAAATATCAGAAAAATTACTTTATGATGTTTGTTATAAAAATTAATTACCTTTGGTGTTTATTATAAAGATTTAGTCAAATTTGGAAAAAAACGAAGCGAGCTCAAGGCATATTATGTGCCATCGGAAAGGAAGAGGGCGTGATATATTTTGTGCCATTGGAAAGGAAGAGGGCGTGATATATTTTGTGCCATCGGAAAAGAAGAGGGCGTGATATATTTTGTGCCATCGGAAAGGAAGAGGGCGTGATATATTTTGTGCCATTTGAAAGGAAGAGGGCGTGACATATTTTGTGCCATCGGAAAGGAAGAGGGCGTGATATATTTTGTGCCATCGGAAAGGAAGAGAGAACTTTCTAGTTAAATGTTCTTCAGCGGTTCTCTGTAACAAGATCGTTAGATCTTCTTTGGGTATCTTAAACTAAAATATGGTTCTAATAGTCTTTAAAAAGATCTTTGATTTTTCAGTGGTGGAGGCCGTAATTATTATGATGAAATGTTTTTAAGAAAAACATCTATTATATTAATAAAGTTCAGAAGAATTCATAAAATTGAATTGTTATATTTTCAAATTTACTTCAGTGTCACGTCTTATTTATAAAAAATTTGCGTCTTGTGTAATCATTTTTTGTGAGGTAATGCAAAACATGGATCAGTTAATTTGTTATATTCGTAGCAATCAATTATCTGCACTAACTGAAATTTATGTTTACAGTTCATGTATTCTTTATAAATTTTTTTAAAGTATAGTAATTTGACATTTGTACGATAAATTATATTTACATTTGGTCTTTTTGATTTAAATCAATTACGTCAAGGCCTCTAATAAGTCATGCAACATTGACGTGTTTAAAATTTGAACACGTCAATGTTGAATGATATGATAAAGTTAAAAGCTCTGAAACGTCGCAAAAGTTCAAACAACCGTCATAAAAGTCATTGACATTATCCTCATTTAATATTGATTGTTTTAAATATTAATGTAAACAATTTTACATTTGCAAATTATTAAAACAAAACAAAAAAAGAATACTAAAAATAAAAAATAAAATTTTTTTTATAATTTCTTAATTTAAATACTTAAAACTAAAACACACAAAAAAATGAAAAATATATTACCAAATAAATTGCATTCTTTACATTTCTGAACCTTGATAACACCAAAAAGAATCAAGAATACCATTACTGCAGAGGTTATAGCTATGATTGCAACAAGAACAGAAAAAACTAAATAAGTGCATTTCAAATTGTCTTCAATCCCAGAGGAATATCCCTTAATTTGTTTTGTACGATACTTTGTTTTTGGTTCAATTTCTGTGGTTTCATACAATGAGTTTGTTTTTTTACAAGATAAAGCTCTTGAATCATTTTGAAATTTGGTTTTAATGTTAGCTTGAGTAACTTGGAGTCCTTCATAATGATTACCTTTTTCTAATAAAACACTATATGGGCTTTCTGCGTATGGTTTTGTTACAAAACATACACTGTTGTGATCAAGAGATGATTCTTGAACATCATTACTTTTCCTTATATCATTTTCGGAATCAATTTTCATTGAATTAAAAGCCGGTAAATTTTTATCCCAAGAGCTTAATCTATGATCTTCTTCGTATGCATAATTATCTAAACCCATACTTTGTTTTGTATCTTTAAAAGTATCAACAATGCTGTATATCTGTTCTATAATTTTCACCTGCGGTGATATTGTCAAATTTACGATATAATTACAAAATACAAATTTATTATGCTATAAATAGTATCTTTTTTTTGTCAAATAACTTTTTTTAATAAAGACTCTCTGCCAACCACTTTTCCATTTGTCTCAGTTTTTAATTGTTTTTCAATTAAACGTGGCTTTGAAGTTGAAATAAGTTGTTGCTAAACAAAACAAAGTCCATGAATGAGATTGTTACCATGTTTGTTTACATTTTGTAAAATGGAAAAAAAAAAAACGTTTTAATTCAATTTTAACAAAATAACAAGAACTAGTAAGACGCCAAAAAATTTACTAAAAGCAGTAATATAGGATTTAAAACATTGTTAAACATTCATTCTTGAATATAGTTTATAATCCAGTGTATAAACCATTGTTGCCTATGTGTTAAGTATTATTTCATACTAACCTTTTCACAAAGTTAAGTCAACTCAAGTTTATCGTGGGTGTTTAAGTAAACATTTTAACCTTTATTATTATATCATATCTTAAGTTTGTGTGCATGTGCGTAAATGTGTGTGCGTCTGCGTGCGTGCGTGTGTATGTGTGTATGTGGTGTGTGTGTGTTCTTGTGCATATAAACTAGCATAACTAATAGAGTTCCTAATTTGCAATATGATGTATTAACCATTAGCTGTGCAATTAACTGTACACAACTATACAGATAATTATACAGTTAAATCATACTTATATATTTATAATATATTTATTTATTTATAGAATGTAATATAATATAATAATGTAGTATATATAAACTTATTATATTTATAAAAACTGCTTTAATTTTTTTTTTCTTTAAGGTTTTTTGTATATTTTATAAATAAAAAGTTAATATAAAAACATCTTCTCAATATTATTTTTAAACTAAAAGTCAAATTAATTTGGTAAACTATACTAAAAAAAATAAAAATATTTAAGCTGCATGCTTGGAATTTTTTTCTTTTTTTGGTATTTTGTTTAAACTTAAATTTATATCAAAATTGTATAAAAATAAAATACAAAATTTTGCATTTGTTGATTAAGTTTATAATTGTTTAAGTTTATAGGAAACAGTTTTATTTCAACAATTAAACTCATGAAGAACATTATAACAGCCTAAAATAATAGATAATACAAACCATAGTTTTTAATATAATTAAAAGACAATAAAGTATTATTTGTTAAAAAAATACGGATAAAAAAAAAATTTATGACCAAGTAAGCTAATTCACAGCATCTGATGAAGAATGTTTCGCAATATAAAAAAATGCAAAGTAAAGAATAATATTTACAACAATAATTATTATAATATTTATAATATTAAATATTAAAAAACAATGTTGCTATAATAAACAATATTCTTGAAACTTTTTTTATAGTCATTCAACTAGGAAGGTTTTGACAACCGCGGCTTTATCTTCATAATACAAAGGTTGATTTGTTTGTTCTCATTTTGAAAATAAAGGATTTGTTTGTACTCATTAAAAACTATGATCAATTACGGTGAATTTGATCTCTTCATTGAAAGCTTTTGTTTTTAAGTCAAACAAAACTAACAATTTTTTATACTTCAACCTATATATATATATATATATATATATATATATATATATATATATATATATATATATATATATATATATATATATATATATATATATATATATATATATATATATATACATATATATACATATACATACATATATATACATATATATATATATATATATATATATATATATATATATATATATATATATATATATATATATATATATATATATATATATATATATATATATATATATATATATATATGTATATATATGTATATATATATATATATATATATATACACATATATATATATATATATATATATATATATATATATATATATATATATATATATACATATATATATATATATATATATATATATATATATATATATATATATATATACTACGGTTAGGTTAAAGCAATAATACTTTTGATAAAAAATAGGCTAAAAGGAAAAAAAATCTAAAACTGAGTCAGATATAGATAAGATAGTAAAAATGATTTGATAAAAAAAATTATGAATAAAAAAGAGTGTCAAAAGTCAGACTTCAAGACAATTTTATTTATATTGCAAAGAAGTAAGTAATCATTCATATTGAAAACAATTAGAATTTTATTTAAATGGAAAATAAAAAAACTTTAGTTTATATTGCAATTGAAGTTTATATTACAAACAATTGAATTTTAACTATATTGCAAACAACTAGTTTATAATAAATTTAAACGTTCACTAGTTTATTATAATATATATAATTATCACTATATCATATTTTTTTTGTTATATTTATTCTCAAGGCACCTTGAGAATATAAACAATTTATAAAGCAATTCGGGGTCTGCTATGCAGCACTAATTTATAAAATATAATTGTTAACTTGCTACCAGTTGTTTTTTTATTTTTATTTTATTGTTACTATTATTATTATTACTTATCTTTTACGATTAATACAAATAAAAAAAAAATTGGTTTTGTTAGTTATGAGACTTTTTGAGTTTTTTTTCTTGGTGACATTAAGGTTATTTAATTTAGCAAGTTTTATAATTTGAGGTATTTTTTTGTTATATAATTGCGGGCCACAATGTACAATCTTAAGAACTTGTTTTTTTATGAGCTATGTGAGTTTTCATATTATTCTTGTAATAATTCTGTTGACGTTAATTGAAAAAGTTATTAGTAAAATGTGTTGGGACAAGTCCAACCTTATATTTAACCCTTATATTTAACCAAAAATAAAATATTTTGGTAGATGTTAATTTAATAGATTTTTAATGCATTCACGTTTTTAAGTAAAGAACTGGCGCGAGTAAATTTATTTTTATTATAAATCAATCTTGATGCATATTTCTAATGTATATAGAGAGAATTTAGTTGGATTTATTTGTACATTCCCATGCAATATTAGCATATGTTAGATAACTTGGAATATAAGTAAAGTTTATAACTTTTAGATTCTTTTAGAAACGCATAACTTTGTAAAGTATGCTAATACTTTTTGATATCTTTATTTTTACATTAAATAAAATTGTTAAAATAAAAAAAGAATTTTTATTTCAACAAAAATCAAGTTGATTATTGTAAAACAGTTAATTGTAATTCAAACATTTATATGTTATATTATAAATTATTCTCTATAAATCTAAAGTTTTTTTATATCGGTTTTTTAAAAAGTTTTTTTTTTATATCTCAAGCAATTTTCATTTGGTCTGAAAAAACTCTTTGATCTAAAGATGTTAGGCTTTCGACGTAATTTATTATTATATAACTATATATTCCGCCTGCACCAGTCGATTTTTTCTTAAAATATTTAAATGCTCTCTCGAACTAATCAGGAAACAAATTAGATGATAACTCTCATCCTTATAATATAAGTTATTTAAGAACTTTAAAAAGTGGATCCAATTTCCGTTATAAATTTATTTGATTCATTCTTTAGTTTACCAGTTATTTCTTTAATATTTTTCTACGCACGCTAAGAAGATTTCCATGCACGCTAAGAGTTATTTTTAAATTATGTTTTAAAGTTTGAATAGTATTTTTTTTTTCAATTTTTTTTAAACTTTTTTAAATCAATATTTATAAATTATATAAAGAGTATATTAGAGTATTATGAGCATCTTAACCAAAAATTTGGAATACTTTCAAAAATAATTATGCTGGATCCAAACTTTTTGCGAATAATAAACAATTTTTAGGAATCTCTACTCATGATCCACTTAGATGTTTGGGCACCCAAAATTTTTTCTTAAAAATGCAGAGGTTTTAAAAAAGTAGCAAAAGTGCTCACTTTATCCAGACCACTTGATAATATAAGCACTTTAAACTAGCTCAAAAAAAAAAAAATTAATTAAGTAAAAAATACCAACTTGACAATTAGAACTAATTTTTGGAGTACAACGATTCGTTACTAACAGAACCTCTTACTAAAAGATCAAATTTTAAGCCACTTTTGGCATCTTTAAATAAATTCAAAACTAAATGTTTCTATGCATTGTTTTTGCAATAAAAATGGATTGGATTTTTAGCCAACATATTTTTCTTTATCAAAAAAATAATTTTATTATTTTAGCACCAAAATTTCGCTCCACAGATTTATTCATACCTGATGATAATATTTTAAAAACGCAAAAAATTTATAAGCGTTTTAGTAAAATGATAGCCGCTATTAACTGTAAATAAATTTACGCTAATTTTACTGATTCTTGATATCACCACATAAAGTCGATTCAAAAAATACAAAGCAACTTTAATTCCACTGCTTACATCCTAGAAATCTTTAAGTATGCTCATATTACCAAGATGCTTATATTACCTTAATCTACCCTATATGCAGTACTCGAAGTGGAGAAAAAAAGTAATACCATCCGTATTTGGTAAATTAAAAATATCATCCCGTTTAATCGTTTTTATATAAAGAGATTTATAAAAAGGGTGCGGGATGGTTCATACTTTATAAAAAGGTGACGGTATGGCATCCCTCAACATCCCGCCCCACTTTGAGTACTGTATATATATATATATATATATATATATATATATATATATATATATATATATATATATATATATATATATATATATATATATATATATATATATATATATATATATATATATATATATATATATATATATATATATATATGTGTATATATATATATATATATATATATATATATATATATATATATATATATACATATATATATATATATCGTAAAACATTTAACGCATGCGCAATTTCAACATTCTATATTAATTAAAAAAAGGTTTTGTTTATATATTTATTTATTTAAATTTATTTTTTTTACTATAATGTTAATTTATTTTAATTTAATGGAATTTATTTTAATATTAAATGGATGCCATATTTATTTTAAATGGATGAAAAACCTGGTATAGCGTACACACAGTACAGTATTAAGCTTCAACTACTCCATGCTTTTTAGGTTCACATTTTTTTATAAGGCCTTATCTTATTGGTAAAACAACCATAACGTTCATTTAAAACATGCATGATGATTAACACCTTTTTATCATATAATAATATTTATTTTGTCTGAGTCAATAATTGCGCGTTTGGATGCTTTGGATAAGGCGTTCTCTAAGGCCGAACTATAAAAACTATAAGGCCAAACTATATAAACCATAACCAATACATTTTTTTACAAAAATGCAAAAAACATAAATTTATTCCAAAAGTTGTTAAGAATAAACTCTTCAATAAAAAGTAAAAGAGCAAAATGTTTGATTTATCGTTTTAGATTTGAACTTTTAATTTGCATAAAAAACGATTCAAAGAAACGATTCTTTATTCTTATAATAGACTATATTCAATTAG